ATGGGACTGAAACCTATGGACAGGGGGTATATTCACTTGGCTAACACAGACACCCCGAACTCGCAATATAATTCAAAAAAGGAAAATCGGAATAAAGTTATGGCCTAACCCTAACCTGGTACACCCACTATACGGGAGTACCTGAAAATCTAACATATACATTTATAGAGTTTGAGTAATCATTGGCTAACGCTAATAATTGAGAGGGATATGATATGTTGGATCATAGGAATTCTTTTTTTTTATGCACATGTGTAAAATGCCCATTAAAACAATAAGTATGGCCTCGGAATGCATTTCTAATATTCTAATGTGTAAGATAAATATGTAGATAATTGGAAACATAGTGTCAGAATATCACGATGAACGCAGGGCAATAACACTGGCCAGTCTCTAACAAATCAGTACCAACCTAATACCCAAAATGGAACAGATTTGACACGGTTGATGTACAAGGAATTTATAGCAAAGTATATTTTGTTTTATAGCATGAAATTGTATGTAGCGTTAATATACCAGATACCTATTCAGTTTTGTAATCTTCGTGGTTAGAGATAGCTAACATTCCTGTCCACCACTTCGGACACATCGAATTTTTAAATTTTTCTCTTGCGAATATTCAATCGATTTTGTGGCATTTTGATCGAAGGCTTTTCACGCAGACCGTGTTAGTATCAAACTTTCACGTCAGAAGCATGTAAATAACACAATTTATGGTGCAATTGCTTCGCGAAATAATAGCGTTGTGGTCTGTTAATTTTTCTGCTTACTGCAACAAAGCCGGTGGTAGACAATGCGCACCATGTAATAAGTAATCCATTGACAATATTAACGCTGATGTCTGAACGTTGTGGACCGTTTTGCAAACAATTTGCTCTATTATTTATTGTATAGTTATTACCGGATATTTATGAGTACGTATGATACAGTGATAATGTTCGGACTTCTCAAAGAAGCCTACCACGGAACAGTCCTGGCATTTGATCAGTAATCTATCAATGGTACTCCTCGTGTTATGTATATACCGGTATAGCAAGTTCCGATTAAGATCTTTCTTGTGCTGATAGTGAACGAACCCAACGATATAAATCTTTGGATTGTATTGAAATTTATGAAGTAATATCACGATTAGAATTTTGTGGATTATACACGAGATACTGTATCGACATGTAAAATTTAGCGCGTCGTGGACGCACCAAGAACGTCTTGTGGTACTCATTCGTTTCTACAAATAGATGCCGGAAATTTGAAATCATGTATTGCAACTGAAGGCCAATTGTGCAAAATGTAATGCTTAATCAAACGTCAATATTTGCACAACGTCAATGGGCGTGTAAATCGTTTCAACCGGCGATCGTGTAATAACCGAATGCTCGGATATTCCTAAACGCAACGCAATATTTTATGTGTTATATCGAAACACATTGTACTTATACCTTTTTAAAAACCGGCCATTACTTGAACTATCAAGTGTAAGGGGAGAAAAAGAGGAAAAACTTTCATAAAGATCGCACACTGAGCGGCGGCGAATATATTGAAACCAATCATGTAACCCTGTCGCCGAATGGAAATATACTCTAAGGGCGAAATCTTGTAGGCCTACTGAAATGCATTCGTCGCGATAGCTACATCCGACAGACCACATTAGTCAAAATGAACGAAAGGCTCGTGGGAGCTTATACGTAACCAGACTGTCTAGCAGAATATTTTTTTGTATTGAAAATTAATTAATTTTAACATGAGTAGGCCTATTGAAAGTCGTATAATTGATAAAAAATAAACGAACCTGAAAACAGTGCATACGTTGGCATCTTTACTTGATCAGAGACGTAAAATACGATAACTTCATTTCCCGGGCGGTGAACATGTTCGGCATAGTCTACGAAATTAAATTCATATAGTCAGGACTAAACAGATTGCAGTGTATAGGTAAGTAAAGAATGGGCTAGTTATCTTTCCCCAAATTCAGTATTGAAATATTTTTGACTTCAAAACTTACAATTAAAAGCGTGTTCAGCATTCTCGCTGTTGTCGACTGCAATCATAACACGAATTGGTTTCCCATGCTGTTCTTCTTGTTGTGCTTCTGCCATGTTGAGTTTGAGCGATCGCACTTGGCACCGGCATCTCTGACGAGAAAAATAAAAGTGAAGTAAGTGAGCAATTCAATCGTATATTTCCATCGTCAGCAGAACTGAGAATTTGTAATGCTGATGCGACACCAGGCGGATGGATATATACAACTAAAAGCTCTAGAAATATGGCAAAATGAAAAACAAAGAATGTTTCCCTTCTTCAATCACAAAGCAAATTTCTCCTTGCACTTTGCCATTGCTATTCTTTATTTTTTGTGTTTCACGAGTTGCCATTCACGAAATAGTTGGCTAACAAATGGCTAACTAACCATTTCGATTCAAAATATTCGGTCACTGGGCCTAAAAAAGTATTGGCAACTAATTTAAGCCTTGTCTACCCCAGCTTTTTGAGACAGTTTTTTTATTTAAACTAAACCTCCCTCAGATAAAAAAAAAATGACCCGTGAGGTATTTAAATTACCCCTCAAATTTGGAAACATAACTAAAATTGATAAAAAGCAGTCGAAATTATAAACACTAGTCCTTATTCTAAATTTAAAAAAACTTGACTTGTACAATGATTTAGTGCAATGGAACAATTTAAACTAAACCTCCCTCAGATAAAAAAAAAAATGACCCGTAAGTTATTTAAATTACCCCTCGAATTTGGAAATATAACTGAAATTGATAAAAAGCAGTCGAAATTATAAACACTGGTCCTTAATCTAAATATAAAAAAAAAACTTGACTTGTACAATGATTTAGTGCAATAGAACAACGATTAGTGGAGTGCAATAAGAATGTCAAAGCAATACTCAATTCTGAGTATTCAGTCTATACTAATTCTAGACTAAATTGAACCTTTTTCGGGCGTGAATTCTGGCTAATAGCAAATCAGTGTTGGTTACACTGTTATAAAACCGCATGGCGTTGAAGATTCTTTGGCATGGCACGGATCTTTTCAAATCAACAGGAAAACAATTGTGTTTAGTCAGATCAAATATAGCGTTGGCTTAGATATATAGTTATTTTTTGTCTCTCAACACTACTTGATATTCTGTTCTGATGTTATTTTAGGTATACTAAGATAATATGCAATTTGTCCATTTCAGACTAAGTTGTATAGTTAAAAATGAATAAGTTTTATCAAGGAGCTTGTTCATCGAAACACAGTGATGCTGTTGGTAGAAGTGCAAGCGTAGATATTATTCCTACTTATTGCTTCCGGGTCGGAGGATTATTCTCCTCATGGCAACTCGGAATGGTTTCAAATATTTGCTTACAAGCTTGATGCGATAATTGGTGTTGTAGTCGTCAAAGCAATGTTGTCAAACATTATATTTTTGTGATTCTGTGAATGCAGGAGCGCTTGGCGATGGTGGAACCACGCATTGATGTTTGGAAAACAGGTGATTTGAAAAGTAGTTTTGCAATAAATAGGCCGCAACCCCCAAACTTGTTGGCTAGCGCGCAGAAATAGTAGAACGCACAACATTCTATAAATTTTCGTGAGTTTTATTATGTAATATAAACAAGTGAACGAAATATGAAGAAAAAAAAATACAATGCTGCCAAAAGTTGCAATATTTCATTTATATTTCTTTCTTTTTGGCAAGTTGGGAGTTGGCCCTTGAGAAAAATGGTCAATAATATAAGGCAACATAAGAAAATAAACATGGTGCGGTAAACCAACAAATCTCACAAAACAAAATTCTTGCTGCATATTAAAATGTAATCAAAAATTGAAATTTTAATGCTGGTATATGGCTGACCGAAATTGAAAGAAATTAATTTGCTGACAAATTTCCAAGAACAAAAGAAATAAATCGCCAAAAACTGTTATTGAATAAGATCATAACAGTTGACAAAGTGTAGCAAAAATTCTACCAAAAGGAAAAATTCATAGATGTACCGTTTCAATAAATTTTGATAATAAATCTACTTGTTCGCTCTTGAATTTAAAATTATTGGTCGGCCATTACTATTTTTTTTCGCTATAAAAAGTGTGTTAACTCTGTTAACTCACTGCCTTTTCATAGTAATACAATCAGGTTTATAAACAGTTCTAGCTATAAGATGGTGTTAAAATACGCCGGAATGTCGATGAAGTTACCGGAGAAGTGAATGCAGAGGGTTACGATGAAAACCGGTCACTGGAAATGAGAGATTATGCAGAAACGAGAGAATTTACAAATCGGAGTTTGAAGAAAAAAGATATTCCATTGAAAGAAGAAAATCCTGAAAATGATATTACCGGGATAAACGAAATAAGCTGCAATTTCCGTCCAGCAAAACAGAGAGTTGGTGTGATAAAAACGGTAAAATTAAAAATAAAGAATATGTAACCAAGAAATCTCGGAGCCATACTGCGGAAGATTTTTTTAGAAACGCACTTTTTATGAGGTAATAAAAAAACAAGGAAGACAAAACGAAAATTACCTTCTGTACCAATCAAATTGAATAATAAAAAAAAGACGGAAGTACTAGGTATAAACAAAATCATATACAGAAAATTAAAAAAAAATGTAATTGAAGGCATCGCATGCTTGCAAGAAGTGATAAAATCAGGATGAAATTTATCAACAGATCATGTTAGATGAAGCTTGATTGACACTCATAACCAAAGAAATGTTTAAAAAAAATTTGATTGCGAGCTCAACTGGACGAAAAAGCATTATCTCGAAATCAAATCCACGATTCTTAGTATTGAGCGAAATTGAGAAAGATTTTGCAATTAATAAGCTTGATGCAAAAGTATCAAACATTCATGCAAGATCGAACATGTATCGTGTATAAAATTCATCCTGGACACTGCAGAAGACTTTGAAAGAAAAAATGAACTTGAAATATAAAATACAATATTAAAACTGAGAAGCAGATTGAAAACATGATTATTGAGTTGGATTGTCAAAGTTTTTTGAAAATAAATCTCAAATTAAACTATGACTTCATTATAGCTTTCAACAAAAGGAGTCCGTAACAAGTCATATTGAAGAGGTTGCTGTTTGTTGGCAGGTGTGTGAGGAGAGCCAAAGTATTCATGATTTCCTCTAGATTTGGGACATCCAAACCACTGCTGGAGTCATCAGTACGAAGACTACCACGTCCACTATCCATTCTGTGCGTGAAACGTGAGTCGGAAAGCTTTCTTCGCTGAGCTGATAATGTACGCATGCAAGCTTCACTCATTTTTTGTGAGAATTCGTCATCTTCAAATGAAGAGAGTCTTCCTTGATCAGCTAAGGAATATGTATGGCCATCTGAGAATCTGGTATTATTTGTACGCCTTGGTTTCTCAGTGTGGTAGTGAGCATGATGATGTGGATGTACCTCTCCTTTATGATGATGACGATTCTTGGGATCATATGAACTGGCAGTGGTAACGTTACCATTGTGAGCAGAAGAATTTACATCATCATAGTAGATGTACTTATCGTAGCCACGAGCTACAGTGTAGTATCCCTTTTCCATTCCGATAGGGTTACTTTCTCTTGTCGATCTTGATACTGGGACGAACGCAGAATTTCGCTTTTGAATTTTAGCAGATTCAGTTAAATATAAAGCTGATGGAATAGAGTTAACACTTTCCCTTGACGCTGTTTAACTTTTCCGCCAGTGATAAACGACGCTGGGCCCGCATTATCAGAACTTTGGGTGCGGTGTATTGTATGCGCTGTAGATTTCCAATTCGGTATTGATTCTGAATTACTTTTTGAAATAGGCTGTTCAGAAGATGGTCTTCTTCCACTTTTTTTCTCATGGTGTGTATGATATTCCACCCTTGGCTGATGATGTTGGTGTCGGCTCGTATACGGATCCTGTGCTTTAATATAATAGGCAGATGACTTGGGATCTTCCGTATGACTTCGTACTCTTGGTTTTCTGGGTATAGTATGAAAATCATCATAATAAAGTTTTGCATCGGCTGTTTTTTGCGGCGTGGCAGTTTGTGTTGATGTGTCGATGAAACTCCGTACTTTTTTCCGGTGTTTCCTACCGCCGTGATCTGTAATATCTGCATGTTTGGATGAGTGACTGCGTGCAGCATTAGGTTTATCTGATATTTTGTTGTTTTGTACTGCATTGATGAGAACATCCAATTGAACTCCGTTCTTCAGGGTATCATCTCGATTCTCTGAACTCACTGACAGATGTTTAGGTGTTTTTAAGTCTGGATTATTGTTTTCACAAATAAGAGAGACATCGGAAACAATGCAAAAATCATCACCGGTCAAAGTATTGTCTCTGGATGGTTTTCCCGTTCTTTTGACATCTAAACCAAATACAAAAACAAAAAATAATTTTTAATGATAAAATGAGAGGTAAAAAATAGGCCGAAAGTTTCTGTTGACTTAATGACTAATGTATTTAACAATATGAATAAAATTGATTGATGACGCAATCCAATATTAATATCCCAAGTTTAACCAATACAAAATACCATTACACATGAACAGTTTCATCTATTCGTCATACGAAGCTAAATATATTACCATATTTAACAATTATGAATCAAAACTTGTTGAATTAGATTTTAAAATTTGTTGTTTCAAAGAGAATACGTTATACCATTGTCATAAGTAATATCTTATTTTTCCTGCAGAAGTTGAACTACAATCTAATTCAATGAAACCTTACAAATAAATTTATCAGTTCATGCAAAAAATGACGCCATTTTTGTTTGTCACTCTTATACTGTTTCCTCCAAGTAAGGAGTAATTGAAGAGAAAGAACTTGCCATTGGTTACCAATATCCTAGTACCTTCGATTACAAACAATATCATACCTAACACACTGTTATGTAGAGGCTTTATTTTCATTTCAGTCAAGTTCGGATCCGCCAAGTTATTGACGCTCAAACTTTTTGAAGGTGGAGCAGTTAAATGATCTTCAGTGATATCAATGATTTCTTCTCTAGCATGATCATGTGCAATAGGATCAAAGTCATCAGCATAATCTGGAGAAAAAAGAGAGAGAATAAGGCATTCCAGAAGTGTGTGTGTACCAATATGGAGGTAACTAATTTTGTTCGCCTATCAAGTTGTGTGAAAAGGACCGAAACCTATGGGTAGGGGGTATTCACTTGCCTAACACAGACAGTACCCAAACTCGTGATAGAACTAAAATAAGGAAAATCGTAATAAAATCATGGCCTAACCCTAACCTGGCACACACACAACGGGATTATCGAGAATATTTTATCATTATTCCAGTAGTCTAATGTAAATGATTAGATACTCATACTATTTTGTGTCCTTCTATTTGAGCATTGCTCTTATGTTTTTTACTTGGTTAAAATGTGAAGGCTCTATTTTCTTCATTATCATCATCTATCCAGGGGTGGGCAACATTTTTGAACCAAGGGCCAAAAATTTTACCCACCTAGACTGGCGAGCCATGCAAGTGTGAGGTAAAAAGGTAACATTTTATGAACAATATTTACAGTGTTAAAAGCAAAAGTGGAAAACCATAAGCCTTGTGCCGAAACTAAATTTAATCACAATCTCAACAAATTCCTTGAGCTATTTTTTAGCTAAAACATTGAAATTTGGTTTTAGTTTGGTTGTGGTAGCATCAGGCAGGCAAGATTGAATTACCCAGCAGGCCGAATCCACACAATCTGTTTCGCATGGGGCCCGTAATAATTAAGACCAGCTCTATTAGAAAACGTTTTTTAGATAATTGATATTGATTACTCACTATCTTCATCATCTTCCTCTTCTGTTCTTTGTTTGGAATCACTTTCAATTCCTGATGTATGTGAACTGCCATGACTGGTCATCGATCGATAGTAGGATTTTTCTCTTCCTGAATGAAGAAACTTATTTTTTACTGAAAAAGATGCGTTATGTGTTCATAGTTGACTTCATAACTACCAGATTGTAGGGAAATAGATGTTTGTGGCAAATTGTGATCATGAAAAAGGACACAAATTAATAGGACAACATAAAATTTGATGTTACATGCTAGGCGTACTATACAAGGGCCTTTTAAATAATGGTTGTTTTCTTGACTTTCGACTCCAGAAAATTCTCCATTATAGTACTATTGCAAAATTTTTACGCTTATTCTCGGGAGTGTTTTTGAGAATTGGTGCTTATAAACGGGTTTACCTGTTCCAAACCATAATTTTTCAAAAATCAAATTCAACCACATGCCACTTATACATACTGATAACTAGTTTTAGCCTAGTCTATCGCAGTGTCTGCAGGGCAAGTTTTTGAATATTGCTATGAAGGTCATTAGCTTTAAAATTTTCTAAGATAATAATATCACAAATATGCAAATGAAGATGTAATGATACAAAAAATTTAAACCATCCCCCACCTTGTTGTTTCGATTTAATTTCATCCTCGTTATCTGTAGAATGATGTTCGTTACTTGTCGTGTCGGCGCTTTCGAGGTTTTTACCAGCGATATAGGATTCTCTGTATCTTCTTGCAGCTGTAATTTTAGGAAATTATACCAATGCATCAAATTTCACAGAAATGATTTTATTATTCCTTTTTGTTATCGGATACAAATCAGACTTTTACGTCATTGGCTATCTATTGTGGTGTTTTGCAATCAATGAGTACAATAAATTACATGTATAATATAGTGTGTGTGGTGATAATCACAATATGGGAGTGTGAGAAAACTAGTTTATCTGCATTTTGAAATTTCTCAGAAAAGTTTGGAACCACCAGAGTAGTTGAAAGAAACCACATTGACTTAAACAAGAAATATTTTATTAAAGGTCTTTTCACATCAAGTGAGCTTCCGCAAACAATAATTGCCAACAAGTCAGATAGCGACCACCTACGCTATACTTCAAATTAATATGGAATCACATCACATGGGCATATCCTAAAAAAATCTTCCATCCACAACACATACATGATCGTGTACAAACCCATTGAAAAAAAAATTGACTAATATATAATCGTGTTATGCGTTGAGCCAACAAATGGTCACAAATTAAATATTGTGACCTAGAAAATCAAACAAAGAGATAATGTTCCTGAAAATTTCTATAGGCAGATGAAAACATTGACCACTAAGAGTAAATAAATGTAAAAGTCTATTTTTGGCTTGTTCAGATGAAGTGAAAATTTTTGAATGACCTAACTGTAAGCTAAGGAATAACACGGGTAACACGGCCCATGCTTGAAATTTATTAGAGACCCACTAGAAAATGTTCCACATCCAACGATTGCGCCGTAGGCCATAATTTTCCGACCACTTATACCTTTAGCAAATTCTGTTAAAGAGGATTTCAACACCAAACTAGCTATTTGATTATTACTATTCAATTCACTCTAAATTAACAAGATAGACAAAATAAGTAGGCGTAGACAAAATAATTATTCACTCTTTTTCACTAAATAATCACATACCCTCTGACTCACTTTTTTTGCCATCCACTTTTCTCATTTGTTGAGCGTATGGCGAAAGACTCATATAAAGTGAGTGAGTTTCCCTCAAAAAATGGAGGAGATATTTTGATCGTGAGTGACTTCCAGTATAATATGTCAATTTTCTGCAAGCAGGAAGATCTTCGGGATAGATTTCAAATCGTTTACCCTGTGAAAATAGTAAACAGAACATGTAAATATTAAAGATTATTTTCATAAACAGACAATAACTGATTTACTACCTTGGTCAATGTAGCACAAAAGTGATAAAACATTTAATATCACAAAGTAATATATATAACCACAGACGTAATTAAATTTTATAGACGGTGATAAAATAGAAAAATGTAATAAAATCAAAATCTGTTGACAAGAATGTATCAACACACACAAATGAAAAATAGGTTTGGCCATAATTGGTTTCAGGCATACAATGTGATGAAATGCAGGCGTTTGTATTGTCTGCAGGCTGCAGCTATTCATATATATATATATATATATGAATATTTTGGTAATTTCTCAAACATTATTACTATAATTTTACTATACAGTATCATAATCCATTCAACTAAGATATGTCCAGTATCCTTTGGTTAGTTACAGCTCCCTCCACAATAAAGTTCATGCATCTGAAACAAATTACTGGTTACCTATTCCCCCACCATATATAGACTGGTAAAGGGATGAGAGGACGTGGTTCGCCACATCTTTGAGACGTCTTATAGACTTACCTCCAAAATCTAGTTCAATCTAAATGACAATCGCAAAACAATTTAACGCAAATGTCCATTCACAGGGTGTAAAGGTTTCAATGAATGTCTGCATTATATCAATACCGCACAGAGCAAAAATGCCAAAGACAGACAGATGTTGTCTTGGAATCATTACCGTGAAAAACAGTCGTCCAACTTTGTTCCACATGAATTCAAATTCAAGTTTCCATGGAGTTTGTTGCATTTTCTCTGGATTTCCATAATGAATTCTTATACCTTGATGAAAAATACCCAGCAAAACACTTGGCTTCGTTTCTTTTTTATTCTGTGTGATTTAAAAAGCAAAAAATGTTTTGTATGGTTACGGTGACACAAAAATACAAAACAAAGAAGCCCTATAATATATTCATTTTCTAACCTGAAAAAGCCAATTCTTAAAATCAAGTATCCAACTACTAATAAATAAAAATTGTCTCTATTATTAGGGATTAAAAAACAACAAATGTGTGTGGTAATCATGAAGCTAACAGTCCATATTTCTTTTTATGCTTATTGTACTCGATAAACTCTCTAATTAGGTTTGACAAGACAGCAGAACAATCAAAGCAGCTTTGACAGGCATGGTAACTATGGTTCAAATTACATTTCATATTTTATTGAAAATTTTATAATTGAAAAACATTACTTTCAATTTTACGCTTATTATGATGCAATTATCTGAGCAATTTAATATTGAGTATCAAGATTTTTATACAAAATTGGGAAAATTTTAACATAAATTATGGTTTTACTATCAGAATGGTGCATTCACAGGTTTAAATGAGATTCCCATTATTTGCATTCCTAAAACCACTTTCTTACATGACATCAATTTTAATAGCAATTTCCATCAAACTAAATTGTCTGGTCATTTGCCATGTTTGCCCAAAGTGTTAGGGTAGATAATGAGGTAAGCTTATATAGTTTTTCTCCCAGTACATACAACTCTACAAATTGTTCTTAAAAGCAAATAAAAGCACAGGAAGAACTTTTGCACTTATTTAGGTCTTGAAGACTTGACCAACACACTTGAACTAGATATCATTGGACTTAGACATAATTAAATACCGGCAGTTCATTATTAACAAAAAACCAACAATTCAATTCATTTTTTTTCAAATAGGATTTTCATATTTTTAGCGTGAGGGATGGGCAAGCTGACAATGGAGTTTAATTAATCAATGCATTACCTTATATAGTTTGTAATAATGTACAGGGACGTCATCAATTCCTGATGCTTGTTGAATATACAATGCTTGAGATTCGAATGAACTTCGACCTTTGTGTTCTGCATGTAATGTTGGGAGATGGGAAAGAAGATAATCACGACCCCACTTTTCAATAAACTGAAACAGAATAAACGAGAATGAAAAATAAGCATTTGAGTTTTGGTGAATTGTATTTGCCTTGACAACTACATTATTGGACACAAAGTGGACCTATAGGCTATTTCCCTTGGTTATTTTGTTGTTGTTGATCATCATGTTAGAATCTCTTTTCTTCTTCTTGTAGCAAAATAATCGCTTTCCTCATTGACCTAAAGATTATGTTTTTCGCTAGATGGCTATGGTAGTTCGCTAGATGGTTGACTTTTATTTATTTCAAAAATTCCCACCCGGAATTGTTGGATCAGTTATTTTTAAATTAATGTAAAATAATGTCAATTCGTTTTGGACATCCCCGATTATCAATACACAAAACGTACAATAATATTTCAAATTTCAATGTTATAAACCACAACGGTTACTAAAAGCAAATATACAGTGCACAACTGTCGCAACTTCAAGTACTATCGTAGTGGGATTAAATCATCCACTTGACTGTTGTCTGAGCAATCGACAATTTCTCAACACTTGTGTGTTTTGAAACCACAAGATTGTATGTATCAAATCTGTTATGGTGATTATCTTATTTTAAAAAGAGTCTGCGACTAACGCTCTGGCATATTTTTAAAACAATTATTGGTTTACAAAAGATTAGGATACTTGAAGCAAAAATGGACAAATCCGAATCATTTGCTGTTTCAGATATATTTTTCTGAATTTAAAATATACAATATATCTTAAATTAGTTGAATATTTTCAATAAATTTATTCACGCAAATCATGGTACAGCATGGAAATAGGATAATAAAGTATTTCGAGAAGTTAAAAATTGTTGTATTGCCAGTTTCTTTTTCTACTGTAATCAGAAGTAAAATGAAGTCAATTTATGGCCGCGCGTCATATGCTCGAAAGAACATATTTAAAATTAAAATAATTTTAATTCCTCGTACAATGAAAATAAGACGCTGTAACGTGCATGTCAATTATGAATATACTCTAACACTCGATTAGTTTTAGACCTCCCTGACTAGATGTAGACCAAAACATTTCGCAGAAATCTCTGTTAATTCCATTCGAGAATGATATATTAAAGGAGCAATCAGGCACTGTGATTTGTGAATTGAAGTATTGGTCATTTGGGTGATGCTCATCAGTCATCACATAATCGGAAAATTTCTAACACTATTATTTGAATTCACTAATATGAATGCCTCAGTTAGTTCCAAAAATCCAATGAAGTGTGAGTAGACATGACCTAGTCTATGATAAACCTGTGAAACTAACTCAACAAACAATTCAACAGCATTGTCGTTAAGAAAACAACAGCTGCTGTGAAGTTTTACTTACATGAATTTGCATGTTATTATTTCAGTGTTTTTTAACAGTTCATTGGAGCAAAAAAAAAGTTTAACAGAACACTCTAACACCAAAATTTATTTCTAAATTGTTTCATTGATCAAAATCAATTATCGAACAAGCTTGTGATTTCCAGAATAAATATGTGTAATTTATGTCGAAAAAAATTAAAGCTTTTTTAATTTTAGCAAATTCACTATAAAATTACATCGCACTATTTAAAAGGATCCTAAATTATCACTATTAAAATTTCATAAATATCATACAAAAATATTCTACATGCAGCACGTATTTCATAGATTAAATACAAAAGACTTACCCAAGAAGGGAAATAATCTTCTGGTCTGAAATAATGGCCTTTGTGATGAACTGTATTATGATCTCCCAAGTCTGTCTGCAATGCATGGGATGCAATAGTAAATAAAATTTCATCTTGGGTTAAAACTTTTGATCTTGCTACATTTTTCTTTAGCTGGAGGTAGTAGAGATGTCTCGATATTGGGTCACTGAAATTAATAGTAATGTAATGAATGGGTGCATAAAACAACATCAAAGCATAGAGAATGAGAGGAATAGCATGCACGAATGGGTTACACAATTCGTTGATTAGAAATTTGTATATTTATAAAAAAAAATATGTTAAATTTGATGCAATGTCACAGCAATAATACAAAAAATATGATGCACAGCACACACATGAAAAATATTTGCAAAAATGCATGTAAAATTCAATGTGATTTCAGGGTTAGAGTTACATTACTTAGAATTAAACATATTGCTTTAGCCCAAAAATGATACATGCGGGAAAGAAATATTGCAAAAACGCAAGTCAAATTTAATTTAATTTCATATTACTTTCAATATTACTCTGAATTGAGAATGTTGTTTTACACCAAAGAAATAGAAAATATTTTTTTTTTGTGTGCACATGCATACGAAAGAATGGTTCATCTCTCCAGTCTGAGATTTTCAAAAAATTCATTTCTAACAGAAGTTGAAATTCCATATACTGCAATATTATATATTATTAAGAATTCACAAACAATTTCTCAAAAAATTGAGCAAATTACTACAGAAACAAATTAATATCTATAATATTTTAGGAACAAAAATTTAGGCAGATATTATAATCTGGCTGAAATTGTTTCGTCTGTTTGCTTAGCTTCGAGTTTGAGGTCACAGCTCTATTTCTGGTGAAAAATATGCTTTAAGGGCACAAAAACATGTATAATAATGGTGATAATTGTGGCTATATTATAACTATTGAAAGACAAACTGAAAATTTATAAAGGTATAAGTCATAATTGAAAATTGTATAAAATTATAGTCAAGTCAGTAACCTGGAAAGCAATTTCCCTATATTACACTATAATTTGAAACTGTAATGTGATATTATGATGATTATGTAGTTTCACATTTATTTTGTTACACGATTGAACGGATTCTTGAAAGAACTTTAAAATACCAACTGGGAAATATTATTCATTATATAATTTAAATTAAGCATTTTAGGAAAATAAGTATTTAGATAAGAATATTCTTCCTTACTGTTTCGAAGGTACATAGCATGAAGTAATAGGAAGTAATCCATAGAAGAATAAATCTGAAACACTTCCTGAAAAATGGCACAGGCTAGGACAAGGGTTGGCCATATCTAACTCCATACAATATTTTGATATGTCTTTGATTATTTTGACATGATAAAAATTAAATTCTCAATTTTATAGAGCATAGCATTACCACTTGGTGGATAAATTTAAAATATCAATACAATTACCAGACAAATGGGAATATTAAACACAGTCAGATTGAATACGCATTCCCAATTCAAGTTCAAATGTAATTAAATTTAATTCAAATAATGGTTACGTAAATATTAAATGGCAATCATATATTGGGCGTGTATTACATTTCCATGTATTGTTAATAACAGCAAGTCAAGCGGTAATGAAAACAAACCTACTTCCAGTGACAAAATTAAATCTTAACCCCCTCGAGTTCAAATGGGGTAATCTTTTGACTTTTTACATAACATATACCTAAATAGGTTAATATCCTGTGGGCGAATTGAATAGGCTTAACAAAACAGCAGGGGCGACAAAAGACATCCATCTTATTCAGTCAAGCATAGGTAACCCAATTTCTGCTAAAGGAGAGACTGAGGATAAAACCTATCTCATTGAATATTAAATAATAATTTATAAGATATAATCTCAATACTTGTATTCCAATAATTCAAAATCGAAGAGAAGTTTCGGGAAAAAGTTGTTTATGATTAAGTGATTTCCTCAAAATGCCCTGTCAAATTTAGTTCAAACAAAATTGTAAATAATGAATCTTGCCAAAACCAAAATAACTTTTTAATGCTAAAATTAATAAAGAGCATTTGTAGCATACATGATGTAATATATTATGAGTTTGCCGCTTAACCATCAACATTACATCAATAAATATTGGCAGAATTCAACAGTTTGAATATGGAGAACATGACATAGATGAATATTGTGTAGAACCTTGCCAATCTACTCATTCTATTTACATTGTTTTGGGAAGGGTGAAGCCAGAGATGTATTTTTGAAACCCCAAAATTTGAAATTCCCCAAAGTTAGGAGTCAGAATATCAGATTTCCAATGATAATAAAAAGTCTAAATTTTGTACAAAAACTCATAGAGCATTAAGTTTGCTAAACATTTTTAACATTCTATTAAATAAGGCTTGCAAATGCCAAGGTTTCTGTTGTCAAAATTAGATTTTCTTTGAGTTCTGAGCTAGAGACATAATTTGATATAATCCAGAGTCAAGTCGCAGTCAAAAATTTTTCCAACTCCCTGAGTCAGAGTCGATTTTAGAATTTTCACGAATTCGTGGGAGTCGTGGTTATGGCAATGTAGTGTTAGAGAAAAAAAAAATCAAAAAATAAATACTGCTTCCTCATACTGCCATCACAGTTTTGTACATATATAAATAAAGCAATAAAACATGATATGAAATGATTGCAAAATCAATAGAAAATGTGGTATAGCTAAACTTGTATAATTATCATTACCTGATCAATTTAGGGTGCTCCACATAAAATTGAACTTGAAATTGAACAGTTAGAACCGCAGCTGAGCTGACTGCAAGATCGCTTGCCTGAATAAATAAATGAAATTGAAATGAAAGAAATAAGCTGAAAAAATATTGCCACTGGCTGGATATGAATCAGGGATGATCACAAGCGAGTAATCTGATATTCTGAATGCATTCCAAAACATCACTCTGAATATTATGGAATATAGAATTTATGCTAAATGAGTCATGTTCAATGAGGTTGAATTTGAATAAGCATGGAAGCACAGTGATTTGATGGTATTTTTCCTTTATTATATTTCCAGAAATTTAATGAGGGCCTTTAGGTCTTAATGGAAAACTTCTGTTGCACAAAATTATAAAATTTTTGTTAAGTTTCCTAAATGTGACTATTCTAAATTGAATATAATTTACATTTGATTCATTTCAAATATTCAATTCGTTCAGATATGATTAGATGAACATTTACATATCTACAATGTTGAATACAAAAAATTCCAAAATAACCTTTATTCTTTAAAATAAAAGGTATTCTAGTTGTAATCAGTTGAAAAAATAGGCCTCAATTATTGTTTCAGTGATATCACCCATCTCGCTCTCAACAAGGTGCCAATATTCTTGATTAATGACAAATTCAACCACCGAATAAACTGATTGATAATATAGGTCAACAAACCAAGTGAGCAAAGGCAAACTTAGGATCTGTTTCAAGAGCAAATGAGTTTATTAATAGCTATTAGTGTAAATTTGAAAAAAAACATGGATGTAAGATGTAAACTTCAATAAACAGCTATTCATAACTGTTCACTGACATATGGTATGGCCAAGCATAAAACATAGGCAGCCTTAAATGTAGTTCGCAAATTCCGCTTAACGACGGCGACGGAAACATGGTTTGGCGAGTGAGTGTAAACAAGACATCGCTTCAGATACTAGCAAAAGAAAATTGAAATTAAAATTACTTTACGCCGCCACGATGGTATTTCATCCTATTAGCATACCGCTGTGATATATCTCGATCACTTCACGGGGTGCGGAATGTTTGAAATCGCAAATGTCACACAGCGGAGGAAATATTTTAGTTATGACATAATGAATGGGTTATCGCTAACCATTTTATAACTTAAAATACTCCGTGATTATTCACGACGATGATTTGGCAACGAATGTCATTATAAATTGGAAAATATTTTATCAAAGAGCTTCGTTTGGCCAACTGCAGTTTATCGTGTCGTTAGTTCTGCCACAAATTATACAACACAACAGGTATAAGATATTCGGAAAAAAATGTGTGGTCATATTCATGTCAGAAATCAGCGGATCTAAACACAAGATCTTGACGACCTGTCAGTCTATAATTCGCACAGTCTTTATTCTATACGCATTGCACATTATTGATTGCTTGAGATCGGTAATCAGGCTATTAACGCTGCGTATGAATCAGTACAACAAACCGCATTACTCACTGTTGTAGTATTTTACGATTGCGTCATCAATATACGGCAGCGACATTTTGGACGATTTACGGGGGAAATAAATCGTAATAAATCTAGAGACACAAATAGCCGATGGGCCGCTAATATTATTAGGAAATGACTGCGACGATCGTAAAGTTCTCGCAGTTGGGAGGCGGTTACTTTTGCAACGAACTTTTTTTGGCACGGTCCCAGTTTCCCACATCTACATTTTACGGGGGAATAAGAGAATGCGCATAATATTGTGGAAACAAAGAAGCGGACGCAAAGTTATTCGATACCAAAAGCCTCAAAACAATTCAAGCGACCAGTCACGTGATTGATAGGCGAATGACAACAGAGTGTAATGTTGTGGGTTGAGGCAGCAACAAAACGCCGTAGTAATTCGTCGCGACGTCGTGGTAGCCGGAGGGCATAAATACCTCTTATGTCAAACTTCAATTCGCCAACGCGCTATTATATCCTTTGTATTAAAATAAGTCTTAACCGCGTTGACTCATTAATTTGTAATTGTTTGAAAATACAGAGAAGAGAGGGATTACGTAATTGATTGTTGATAAGTCGCGCAATTTGTGAAACATCAATTGATTTAAAATCCAATCCTTCCTCATATAATATTAACTAGTTAGCGTTGTTTATAGCGGTATTAAATCAAAGTTATTGATTTACTTCGAAGATACAAAACCTCATTTGTAAGCATCAAAGTTATATTTATAAAACTTTGCTGGCTCTAATTAGATTTGGTGCTTTATTAATAAAAAGTAATGGGGAAATAATTGGGAAATTATTAGCATTTTGAATTTTTATCAAATAAATATATTGATAGACCAAATACTTGAATCAAATGGATTAATAAATTGAACAAAAATAATAGTAGGCTATTCATCAAATGATTACCGATCAACCGCTCTGAAAAATGTTATCTTGTTCAAAACTGACAATTAACTGTTTCCCTTATAATTTTTTTCATACATGACTTACTTCCGTTACCGTTACTACTATTGAATACACTAAATTACAATTAATCTCAACACTCAAATAGTAAAATTATTCGCCATGTTGCTACTAATAACCAAGCCAAAAATATAACCAACTAGGTAGTAAATAGTAATATAAGAAAGCTAAAGGACGCATAAAGCTGAACAAAAAATTTTTGCTAATTTTTGAATAGAATATATCCCTGGGGAGAGGAAATCTGAGACGACTCAATCATAATATGGCAAACCATGGCTTCTCGTCGGTTACCAGTCCATGTTGGACAGTTATTTCTTTTCAATTGCATGGACCTTATGGTGGGGGAAATGGTATCCAACCAGCCGTTATGTGAACTACCCTAGCTACAACGTTGAGGAGTCCAACAATCATCTTACACAGAATTATCCCTCACAGGATTCAAATCCCAAAACGCGAACCCAGGCAGGGTAATCAGAGATGCGGTGGCGAGCATATTCCTCACGCTTAGCATGATACACCCACTGTCGGAGTCAATTGAATTAAATATGTTATCATTGTTATAAATATCACACTATTGCAATAAGTCCCTTGCACAGCGAAAACACGATCAATATAATTTTTCACAAAATAACATCCAAATATGTGGATATGTGGAAGTGGATATGCTTCATATTGATTGGACAAAGAATATTCAGAATTGGTTTGAGTGTTAAAACAAGTGTTCAGATATTGAGACATGACCAAAGTGGCCACGCAAGTGACAGTAACGGAAATGGAATGTTGTGGAACTTAAAGAGTAAATGCAATGCATGGTCTGTGACAAACCCAAATAAAGACATCTGCTTGAACAGAGTACCCACAAACTTTCCCATGACTGAAATATATCATGGACCAAAATACCCTTCTGTAACCAAAATGCAATTTCATCTACCGTATCCAGGAAAATAAATATTGTGAATTATGTTCTAATGTAAGAACCAAAGTGTTTTAAATGCAAGAATGCACATTGATTTAAAACTAAACTTACTAATTTCTTATACCGATAATATACCAAGATGCTAAATAATCAATTAGTCATTTTCCCATGAAGAGAATAAATTAAACTGATATTTCTACAACAGATACCAATATAACGTACACTAAGCGGTAAAAATACAGCCTGAAATGAGAATCAAAATTGGCATATTGACAATCTAAAATTATTTACAGAGCAAAAATAAAAAACAAGACAGTCTTCATACACGACCCTCGGATCATAGGGTCCGTTGCTGAAATTTTAGAAATCCCATCTTGGATTCCAAGCGAGAACAGAATGAAATAAGAGTGTAAAATTTCATAGCCCCCCCCCCCCCTCGAGATCCAAATTCATATTAAGCACATTAACAAGATAGTAGTCAGCCCATACTAGATAGATGTTTTAAATAGCCACAATTGGTCACAGCTTGATAAATACAACGATAGTTTTTGACCTACGGGTATCAGATAAAAGATTTCAATCTATAAAGTGAAGTTGGAAAAAAACACTATTGCTTTAAGAATAGCATATAAGCAGTTCTCCTTCTAATAACATATAACAGTTCTCCTCCCATAGAACTAGCAATTACAACAATACTTTTTGTTGATAGATATCAGAAGATTGATCAATTTGCTGTATTTGTGGGGGTATTAAATAAAAAAAGACTCACTCTTCTCTTTATTTCTTTACCCCATTCTTTCGGAGCATACTTTGAAATTTTGTACTTCAAATCCATAAACCATTTTTCATTGTCTGTAAGGAAAATTATTTTTATAATATCAATCAGGTTAATATCAAAATTGCACGCAATGGTAAATCAATGGGACTGAGCATGTAAACAAAACACATTAACATCATAAGTTCAATAACCACGCTGTACACTTTACACTTAGTGTGTTAAGTTGGGTAAGCTGTGTGAACCAAGATACACAGCAACTCCATGGGTATCAGTGTAAAGAAGTTATCTGTAGCATTGCCAGGAGTAAATGTGAAAAGTGCATCAAAAAATATTATGTTACAAACCTACTACTGTAGAGAGACCAAAAAAGTGTTTTTCTTTTATTGATAACAGAGTGCAAACTTGTTCAAATAATTGTCGAACTGTTGACTTGGTCTAAAAACACAAAATAAAGATTATATAAAATTGATAAATAATGATACAAAATTTTATTAATAAATAATATGCTGTACTAATTATGCAAAATAAATTAATTATAGTAATAAGTAAACTGACCAGATGATAATATTTATTTAACCCAAAATTAGAAAAAATTTATATTCAATATATTTGCAATTATTAAATAAGAACAAAGATATAATTGTTTTAAAGATAACAGTATTTTAATTTGCTGTTTAGATTACATATTTTTAATTATATAAATACAGAAATAAAAGCAAACTTGTGGGATACCATTGATGATATCAAAATAAGATTATGGGTTTGTTAAATTATTCTCACAATTCTTAACAGACTTGCACAAATTAATTACCTCAATGGCCCATTATTGTGTAATTGATAATGAGCTTAGCAAACATAGCATGGATCAAATTGGCACCTTTTCAGACTTAGTTAATTACCATCATAAGCTTTTAGCAAACATCATGCTGAGCAAAAATCATTCATTGCTCTCTTTATCTCTCTGATATACTGACCAAAATAACATCATTGTAAAACAATATGGCCATAAGCTTCCTATAACTGTATAAAGGGGTCCTATAAAAACCATTGAAAATGCTTATATGCTGTGTTCAAAATGATAGAACTTAAAAAACATAAATTAAAATATTTCTAAACTGTCTTACCTCAAATACTAACACAACAGAATCGTTGTTTAGCAAATGAATCCTCACAGGTTTTTTACTTAATCCAGTCTTCATTTCAATGTCCTTTTCTTTTCTATCAATCGGGTGGAAATCGTCGTCGAACTCGAATTGTTTGAATATGACTTTATCCTGGTAAAATAGGCTGTCTGACACAGGTCTAGGTTTCAATATTCCTCTGGTTTCATTGGTGTGCCGCAACCGTGGTTTAATATCATTCCTCTCCGACTGATCACCAAAAGCTTTAGGCAATCTTGTCTTGCATTTACGGCTTTGTTCAGAATGACGCTTTATATTCCCTGTTGAAACGCTACGTGCGCCAAGCGTGGTTTGTTTCTTGGTTTTAAACTTGCGCTTCACAGTAAACCCGAAACTAATAAAAAACAAAAACAATGATCTCAGTAAGCTATAATCAGATAATCGCCATTTTTACATTAACACCGGCGTTAAACTACATTCTGTATACTGTCACAAGAATAGGTTCCCCAAATTACTGAGCATACATCCTACAGCGCCTACGCTGCAGTGCGAATACCAACGCGACTACGAGACATTCCAAATCTATGACGACGATGAAGCGAGATTGCGCTAACAAAAGTGTTCCGAACTTAATTTCTATCGCCATCGAGCGTCAGTATCAAGACGAACGACAACTTTGCGACTGCAAAATAGATCGATGGATTATTTTATATTTTGAACCCGCCTCGGTACAAGAAATAACAACACACAAGACGGAAATAAGGTTAGCTGCCGAATCTTCTAATAAGGTTTTTAAATATGAGACATAAAAGTACCACGTGGACAACCTCAGCTCGTGATATGTGAAATAGAAAATAAGATAAAAATACAACAACGGTACATGACAGTACGGTACACGGGTATGTTAGTCGTTGGGTACACGTAATCTTATAAGAATAAGCAAAAATTAATCGAAGCAAATTTTCAGAAAATTTCACAATTGCTTGAATTAAATCCGTGCCTACAAATACAGAGATTGGCAACGAGGCAAACTGCCGTGGTAAAGTGCTTCATAGTCAAGTTTATTTTTTCCATCCAGTAAATAATATACGAAATTGACGAAAAAGCCGAAAAAATATGTTAGCAAAAAATAAAAAAATCATCACTTATCCGAAATAATAATTGACGCACATATTATATGTGATAATTTATGATTTATGTGTACGTACTACAAAATCAGTAAACACACAACAAAATTTCGAATGCATCTTACTAAATTCCAGAAACAAGCCAATGCGGGATAAGTAAGCGGTTGCTCTTGCGCTATTGCTATTTTATACCAATCACGTTCGCGGAATCTTTTCAACTTCTCACGGTTTCAATTCTCGGGGGGACGTCAGGTATCCACAAAAATGCCAAGTTGGTCAAATTAAGAAAACATGTATTCATTAAATAACAAGTAAGTGGGTTATTTTTTTTATCCGCTGTTAAAGTGAAATGTTCTCTGTTATTACATTGGGTGCCTCTCGTGTACATCCGTGATTTACGACGTACAAGGGCGCAGCCAAGAAATTCACATTTCAAAAAAATCCGATACGCCATACCTCTGACGTGAGGCAGCGAAATTCGGCGATTTCAATCAATGACGATACCAATTTCTCAATAACACGAGAGCAATGATCAAATATACTGATATGAAAGACAAAACAAAAAAAAAGCATCATATCTCTCACGGTACCGGTGGTATCGATGGTCTGACCACGAGATCGTTGAAATGCGGACACGGAACCACGGTAAGGTGTACATTTTTAATTTTAAAATGCATCATCAAACAAAAAATGTAAAGTCGTTTTATATTTGATTTATTATTTTATTTTGCTCACCTTATTGTGTATTTCACCTCATCATGCGGATTGTTTGTAAACTCGTTGTTATTTCCAAATGATTCCGATTGAAGCTCACGAGCTTTTATTCTGTGACAGTGGCAGCAATTTGACTTGATGTTGCGAGGCACACAGAAGCTACTTTCACAAGGATTCCGAAATCTGCCTACGCAACTATTCATACAAGCTTCAAATTCTAAACATACTCCGCATCCCGGGCATTTTGTTAAAATTAGTTGATCGCTACTGCGAAAACGTGTATTCTGTTTAGATGCCATTTGCGGCAACCCATCATCGTTCCTCTGTCGAATCTCTGTCGTGGTATCTATGCAAGGCAACGAATGCGGACGCTGTTTGGTTTTAGAGACAACGTGCTCAGTGCCATTTATTGTCAGACTTCGAAATTTCACATTTTTGGAACGACTGTTTCGTCGTCTTCTTTTGACAAAATCTTCTAGCATAGAGTTGATGTAATTCTTATCGTATTTCTTATTGCTGGGTATTGCATGAGTCTGTTGTACATCTCGCACATACAAACGTCTCGACATTTTTAACTCTCAATTACTGCTGCACTAATTGAAAAAGTACATTCACAATCACTTTAACGCCAAACACCTTATATATATCTCACTATCATTTTGCGTCAAGTTTCTCCCGTGGAATGACAAGGTATAAAAACCGCGCTCCATCAACAAAATTAAGAGGATATCATAAACATACTAAAGGTTACGTGACCTTTCATGTTTAGACGCCAACCGTTGGCGACGTATGGTGTAAAATTGTCATATATATTTACTGACGAAATGGCCGAGGCAATGTAGCCTATCTTTGATTGAATAATGCGCGACTTTCAAACCACTGGCATGAAATATATAATTCATTCACAATGATAGTACTGTTTTGCAATTTGCGCAATGTCCCGAGCATCACATAGTGACCTCTCCCTATGATTGTTGATATATGAAACAGATTAACGCTCAACACGGCATTTATCTTTACACGGGTTACGTTTACATGTAAATGGATAATCCGCAGGAAATAGGTTCATTGCCGTAAACTTAAAACAACGCTTACGAAGGTAGTTTTTCGCCTGCGAAGGTTCATGCCATAATGAGCCTTTGGCGAACAATCACTGCAGCAACGGCACCAGGACCAGGCAAATATGTACCCCTTAGTAACACTGAACGCGGAAGTCAGTGCATTTTTCATACCCAAAAGCAATTTATGTTCTCTTCGAGAGAATATCAATTTATGATTATAAAGTTATAGTTAGACATGATATAATGTATATATATGAAATATTCTTCGCAAACAAGTCTAACGCATTTTTGTCGCTACGTAACCCTGTAACCTTTGTACTAAATTAATATCGCCACATAAAACCAGTCCAACTATATAAATATATACACATTATTAAAACATACAATATATATTTTTCAAATGTTTGCAACTTCGGATACTAGTTGTGCATGTTGCAATTTACTGTTCAAGCAAAAGCAGTATTTTGCTAATTATATGGGGATTCTTTAAATACCTAACCGAAATGATATGGTCAAAATTGGTTACTCCCGTAGTATAGGTACAAGGTTAGGGTTAGTTAGGCTATAATTTTATTCCCATTTTTCTCATTTTAGTTCTATTACTAGTTCGGGGACAGTCTGTGTTAGCCGAGTGAATATACCGTCTGTTCATAGGTTTCAGTCCCTTTACACAACTTGATGTAGAATAGGAGAACAAAATTAGTTACCTTTATATTGGCAAATATACTTCTGGAGCGCCCCTCTTGTGCTTTGAGGGGGAATTGCAAATGAAAAATTGCAGTTATTTTTGGGTGTGGTAAGTTGTATGTATTTGTCCATAGTCATTATAAAGTTTAATTCCAGATAGCACTAACAATGAATCAGATAGCACTAATAGGAACCATATTGCTATGTTCTTTTTATATGGCTGACATCAGATACAATGCAGATGCATCCGCTCAAGGGTTATTGTGTAAATCGAATACAAAAATAATGTCAGGCGATAAAACGAGCTCTAAGGCCATTTTAATATAATTATCATCAACAACGATTTGCTGCAACAAGGTCTTATTGTTGAAAACAGTTCATTGCAACTCAAGTTCAGATTCACCTTTCTCGCAAGAGTGATTATGATGTTTAACAATCAGGGATGACGTTTAACAATCAGGGTTAATGAGAAAAAGTCGCATGGTTTTGAAGAAAACAATACTTGAGCATAGGGTTAAAAATGAACGGACATTTACAAAAGCCGAGATTAAAAACCTTAGAAATAAAGCGATATCCATTGTAAGAGCCATAGTCACACGTGTGCTTTTTATATTCTAATATAAATTGAAATTTATCTTGTGATAATCTCTTTGATGAAAATAAGACAAAATTAGGACGTAGCTCAAAAATAAAGACAAATCCTAATAAATAACAAATTTATTTTACTAGACCTAAGGCCTAAAAATAATAACAAATATTAAAAATAAGACACATACGGTATATATATATATGATTAGCAACTATTATTGATGTTTTTTCTGCAGACAGCATATGTATTGTATATAGACGTACTTTCGCATGGCAATGGACGTTTACCATTGATCCATAGACTAGATAATGGAGAATGTATATTCCAGCGAAATTCCATTGAATAACTTCTCCTATTCAAAATATTTGCGGAAGTCAATTGAAATTGATCTTTGATCGGGAGTCTACACTACATACAAAGGAATAGCAACACCGAACTGTTCAGGTTTTTGGAGGAAGTTATTTGCGGACTGAAGGATTCTGCAGAATTTGCAATATGCAGTAACAAGCGCCATTGAATATGCAAAATTTGGGTTTTGTGCGTTACATGAATTTGTTTATAGTTATTATAATGCCCGATGCCATATGGTAGCATGAATACGGAAATAAAAAGAGCGGCTATCCTATATTGGCGTGCTATTTTACCACAACCTCTTGAACTTTTTTTCCGAAGTCAGTCATGTATTGCATTAAATAATAATATGAACAATATAGCAATGCGGAAATATAAAAACAATACATTCTGGGTGAATATCGTCCCGTAGAACTCGAAATTCGGAGAAAAAGTAGAATTTTAGCGACATATTCTATCCCTAAATACTGTAAATTTAGAATCGGTTGGTTTATTAGCTATGAAGAGGATCGATTTTTCACAGATTCAATAACAAAAGTAATGATGTAACAATGCGATCACTTTATGTCCAAATGAAGCAAAATGAAATTATACCGAAAATGTAAATTGGGGTACTTTCTAACGGGTGTTACGAAACGCATTTCTGTGGAGTATACACGTATGCTGTATGAATATTTAGCAACTGATAGATCACTGATCCACGTATAACTGAGGATGACTTTTCATGAAGGTTTGCCTCCGAGAGAGAAGCCTCACGCTCACTTCAAACGAAAAAATGTTATCGATAATTTAAGTGTCCCAGCAAAATAAATATAATTAAATTGAATATTATAAATTTAGAGGGTGATAGATATTTTGCTATTAACGTTGAAAATATTTGTAGCCTATAAAAGTGCGCTATTCGATTGACCATGTGCACTGGTATGTAAGCCAGATTTTTGATATTTAAATACACTTATTAATATGTCAGGGGAAAAAGTTGAAGGGAAGGGTATAATTTCTGAGGGCGTGTTTACCCCCTATAGGGGTGGAGGGGAATCACCGATTGAACCATATATTTATGGACATATACTCTGATAATTGTAATCCTTCAATTTCATTTAAAATAGTGAATAACTTTGTTTCTGTGTATTTTATATTACAGACACTCAACACAATGCAGATGCCAAGACTAATCCAAATTGTATCAGATATATGTATCTCGATTTTGAATAGTATATATATATATATGTAGAAGATGAGGAAATACCGTACTGTTGTTACCATACACATAACTTTTAGGTTGTAGATAGGCTACTTCCGCATGAGGTAGAACACGCTTACCATTGTGATGATCTATATTCTATGTAATGGAGAATTTCACACTTCAAAGAAATTCAAATAAATAATGTTTCTTATTCAAAATATTTTCGAACTCTCATTGTGCTGGTTTTGATGGGAAATTTGTCACTTACACAGAAACAGTCACATTTTTTCGCCTTTAAAGGAAGTTTGCGAAGTGAACTAAGGAAAAATACAATATACTTGCAATATGAAAAAAAGAAAGCGTTAAAGACAACCGTGTATAAAATACAGTACGCGTTGAATCAGTAGTTAATAGGGAAGTGTACTGTACTGTAATAGGGGCTTGAAATACTGCCTAAAAGTAATGGCTCCAGCTGATGTCCCAAAAAACAGGATCGAACTGTTCTGTGGATGAAACTATCTATTGAGAAGATGGTATATGAAAAACACTATTTTTCTATGTGGGTCCAGAACATCACAGCAGGGAAACGAAAATACAAATGTCAATCGTCGTGCATTTTGTACAGCTTTATTATCTTATACTTGGTGAAGGCAAACCGTGTTACATTGCGTCTGCTAAACGGAATCTAGAAGGAAATTCAGGCTAAAAGGATAGGATAAAATTTGCGCAATGCGTGCACATAGTTCGTATTTTTAGGAATTATGAACAGGGAGATTGCATGAGTGCTAGAAGCCCTCGGAAGGGTGCTACATGCAAAAATGTCCGTAACCGCTTTTATAGATCTTCTATTAGTTCTTCTGATTAAACCAAAACGGTAAACGAGTTTGAAATTCAAATATTCAATTTTATGTATTATAGAAATGTGTCATCTTGTTTGAATTCTTGTGATAAAATATTTTGGTAGATAAAAGTATAGAAGAATCTCTGATTGGCAATGGACACAGATAATGAAGAAAAACAGCACTTTATTCAAGGTAAGAATTTCAAGGCAGAATCCCTATTCGGGTATACTACATTCGGTCCGTGGTCGGATGTTGCGATAATCAGCGATTACGTTTTTGATTTTTGTTTAAGGCCATAGACCACAGTAAATAGGTAACGTGAACCTCAGTTGACGACTAGCGTTATATTTTGCGTTCGAAAGTTATGTATCAGATTTATGTGAAGCGTGTTATGGTAATGAATCGCACGTATAACGACATAGATACATTTTATGAATGTGATCTTTTTAGAAACAGTGTCAATAGTGATAAAAAATGTAAACAAAAAGATTTTCTTGCTTTGTTGAATTCATTTATTATACAGAAGGGACCCAAAATTGATACCAATTTCTTATTTTCTTCACGAGACCAAATTGAAATGTGCTAAAAAGACATTGGT